CAAACCAATAAAGTCACTTTAATTTCAGCCACATATTCTCCAAAAAAATACTATTCCTTACTCCATTTCTATACCAATAATGGTAGACAAACATGCTCATAATATAGAAAAAGGAGAAAATAATAATTTATAATATGATGGGGATGCCATCGCCGTCCAGTATCAAGCAAGCATAGGTGCAAACTAACTCTCCTGTCAACATCTTCTACGTCTTCGTATTATGCGATTATGATACTACTATAAACATATATAAAATAGAGTTAATTGTTTCATAGCACACTGAACTTTGGATAGTTTCACGTTTCACCCACTGCACTTGCACTCCATTTCTCACAGAACTTTATACGGTTGTACTCCATTACTCACCAAGTAACTCCGTCAATAACCACTGCACACTTGGAGGACGGATTTCACAGCTCGCAGTTAAAAGCCATGCCATTTCTCCAAAACATCAACCAAACACTCCTCACCTAAAATCAATTGAAGTCATGAGATGGAACCCTTATGTTAAACGCACAACCTCCATCAGCCATTGCAAAAAACCTCCCAAATTTGGAATCGCCTTGAACCCTAACCCCCAATTTGAATTTGATCCACAATTGATGGACCTTGAAACGTGATTGTTGAAACCGTAGACATGGATAGAATACCTCAGTTTGCCGACACTCGGATTGAAATGGGTTCCAATTTTCGAAATAGATTTCCTTTTTCTTATAAGTTATGACCTTTCCAACGAGACATCTCAATTTGCTACCACTCGGATTGACTGAAAGGAGGGGAGTAGGGAGAAAGAAAGGTAATATACTGCAAATTAGTGAGGATGAGAATAGGGAGAAAGAGGAGAAGAATGATACATGGCACCGTATGGAGAGAGTTCGGACAAATTTTTGCGTCAATTTACGTTGTCGAAGATGCCAAAATGGATCAGATTTAGGCCAGCATGGAGAATGGTGTTTTAACTCAACTGTCCCCAAAGAGGAGGTGAAGAAGTTTTATATCAAAGCCATTGAGATTTCTGGGTAAAGAAGACTGATGTCCACAAGTAAT